CAGAATGAGTATGCTGTATGGCCATGGTCTATATGGCCCCTGGTTGAAATTTTGAGTGGTCGAGCTTTCTATGTAATATTTACATGAACCAGATGTCAGATACTATTTATGTTACGTTTAAGGTACAGGAAACATGTAATGAGATTTGTTAATCGTTTATCCGCTAACAAGAACAAAATTAATATATTTCTTTCACAGCAAATGACACCTTAATATAAATCATATTCAAGTTTCTTCTTCTGTTTCTGCATGGTTTATTGCATATCTGCACATATTTTTCAACACATAAAATACACCAGTTTTCCCATACTGAATGTGGGTATGGATATGCAATCTAACGCCACTGTGACTGTAAGTGATGCATCCATGTGCACCTTGCATGAACGATGTGATTACAATAAACAGTGGACACTATTGAAGCTGGGGTTGAATACACAGGGGATTATTAGAATGGATTAATGTAAATAAAGCCAGTCATACTTCTAATTTATATTCTTATTAGAATGGATTAATGTAAATAAAGCCAGTAATACTTCGATGAGGTTGTGCTTATGTAAAGTATACAAATAACAATAAGCGCTATATCAGTGGGGAGGGTCAAGAACACAATATATACGCAGTGATGAGAAAGAGGTGATGGAAGCCAATTTACAATTGTTGAGATGCTTCAATGAGTTCTTGGTAAACTGTGGTGAGATCTTAGCCTTGGTCACGGTTGTGGAGATCGCTAGGATTGTAATAAAGAGCTGGATCAACCATACTTGTTTGTCATTTTTTACACATTAATATGTTTCCCAAATCAAGCGTAGGTGTTTTCATATTTAGAGACTTCCCATGAGTTTGCAGTTCGAAACACGGAAGGGTATTCAAAATAATCGATACATAGGATGTGTATGATTAGCTCATGTTACGCGTACAAATAAGATTTTTATTTGTGTATGTTTATTAAGTATGTTACCGTAATGTTTGAAACGGGTTGATTAATAAGTGAGTTACAATTAATTCCAATTAAAAACCGTAATATTTCAGCCATATCATTAAGAATAGGTTTCACGGGTTTTACCTAGTCGGGAGTCGAATCCCTGGCCTTTAGTGTGAAGAATCAACGATTACATTTTGGAAGGGCTTAATTAACAGTGCAAAACATTACTGAACAACGTAAATCGGGACAAGATAAACCGGTATGTCCAACTGACGGGCATTAAAGATCTACATGTAGGCAAGGGGATAGTAATCTGTTCCCATGATTCCCATGACATTTGTTAATCCGGACGATTACACAGCCATCAATACCGTCCATATTAACAGAGTGACACTGTACGCAGCAGACTCCATCACAGTTGTAGATATAAAAGAACAAACTGATGTTGTACATGACGTCTTTACTTGTTTACCAGTCCAGAAAACGTATATGTAACCAGTGATCGCATGAGTCCATCAAGGCTAGGTGTTGGGACCATTGTTATTTTTCCCATTATCAAATGATATAGTAGCCGATATTCAGTGTAATATTATATTATTCGCTGATGACACTTTTCGACATGTCATTATAGTAGATCAGAATCATCAAGCAAATCTCTAAATAAGGCCACAGTATTGATATTATTATGGTCACAAATTTGGAAAATTAACTTTAATCCAAAGAAAACAGATCAGTTTTAATTTCTTGAAAAGAGAACAGTAACTCAAATTCCAGTACTTTTTATGAGTGATATTAAGGTTGAATCAGTTAATGTCCATAAACATCTTGGGTAACTTTGCAAAGTGGCAAATGAATATCAATTATATTGTTACTGCGGTGAGTCTAATGATCAGCTGCTTATGAAGTTTGAAATATCGCCTTCTGAGTAATATTCATCGTAGAGCTCTTTCACCTTTCCATTATTCGGACCATATGTGGATCTGTCAGTGGAGTGAGTCATTTCAAACTGTATAATGAAACAGTCATTCATGTTTAGGCACCAAAATCATTAGATGTGTGAACATGCATTTCATAAAATGCTCATAAACAAAACGCCCGAATATCTGACAGATTATTTCCAACAAGTTCTTCTGACATTTTCTTCGATGATGCAAGATCTTCAAACATACTCCATGTTCCACTCTGTCGCACAGAAACGTATATAAAACAGCTGTACTTGATTGGAATATGTCAGATGACACATCACGGTGAATAGGATCTTTGTCGCAATTTCCAAATAAGGTAAAAACGCAACCGAAAAAGTTCATCGATAATTCAGAACATATAGAACATGATTACACATTACTCATAGTAAACGTAAGTTGAAGTGACATAAATGGCCACAAATGGTTAACTTGTATTTGTGGCTCTTTCTACAACGACAGTATTCGTTATATATTCCAGTGGTCACATGTTACTTATATCAGTTAAAATTCTTATTTCTATACCAAGGATTTCGATATCAATGCTTTATTATTCGGTAATTCAAATTGATAAGATACTGAGAACGTGAGAATGATTGAATCTCTCCATAATTATTTTACCCTTATAAAACGTTCAGTTAACCTTATAATATTGATACATATAATTATTATATAGATATAAATATTCATATGCATATAAAAGAACTTGCTTTCAACCATGCATGTATTTGATTGTTCCCACATCGTGTGTTGTATTTACAAATAATGTGTATATATTCCTATTGGAGAGGTTTTAAAGTTTACACTTCGCCTTTTGACAAATCCAGTTCAGTTTTCCTTTTTGAAAATAAACACTGTTTAACCCACATAGACGTACATATAATTTGTTTTACTTAACGTTTTACAGTGAGATGATAACATGGGTGTATTTTGCCAGGACAGACAACTGGTGTCGTTTAAGTCTACTCAGATGCGGTTTCATCAAGGTACAAGGTTCGCTGGTATACAGCAGTGTCAACATCCTACAGCTGGTGTCACTGGCGCACTTTAACATGTACACAAGCGGGCAGATTCTACACTGATACAGCGAACATAAGTACGATATCAGATGAAGACAGATAAGCCGTAACTACGCAGATGGAGTCACGCACAGCGACCAAGTGATTGAAGCGCCATCTAGCTGACGGTTAGTAAAGGGACACTACCCATCCTGGACTATTTCGCAAATATGCCACTGTGTACATTTCATTCTCGTTTTCCTACAGTTATTCTAATTTAACAAAACTATGCTCCGACTGTTGTGTATCAGAGTAAGGATAACACCCCCGATGCCCTGATGTGGTGATGCGTTAATGTTACAAACATAGTTTTGCTTATATATGACGCTAATTCTCTTGGAATCAATAAGACGAATTTTGAACTTTTTGTGCATATATTTCCTGTGTATAAATAATTACTACTGTAGCATATTAATAGTAAATAGATACGATAACGACTTATTACTGTGTGATATAAATGGTCAATATAAATGATAACGACAAGGTAAATATAAAAATATAATTTGTTGTATATTATACAGTTTACTTTGACGTTAAAACATTTCGAATTGTCGTTCCGATGTGTTTAGTTTCAACATTATAATTTTATCGTGCAACCCAACGACATGCCAAACAAGAGAACTGATTTTGCATGATTCTTTTATATATAGCAACACTATTGTTTTATCTCAAATATGTTTTACAAACAGTGAAGAATATACTCAGTGAACAAATTTACGAACCGTTACATATTTTTAATTCGTCCTATTATACGTAATGGTGATTTAAAAAAATATAAAAACAAAGATGCCGTGTTTGGGTTTATAAGTATTTACGAAATTCTACAGAATCACAGTCAGATCGTCTTTCAGTTCATGAAGAACAGTATTAATCAAATACCAGGTTGGGTTTCTGATAAAAAAAAACACATCGTAGTTGCCAGAGACGTAAAGCTGGTTAGATGTTATTTGTCAACATTACTATAAACATCGACTTGAATTACTTCTCCAGTTGGGGCGATCTCGTGTTGACGACCAAATCAGAGTCTAACCAGCCGGTCTCTAAATATAAAAAAACATTCCCATGCATGCGGAAAAGCACATGTTATTTATAACAACACACGTACAAATTCCCTGGCAATTATTCCAATTATTTATACTTGATAATGACACCTTTGAACTTTTAAAAAACGCGACGTTTTTTGATGTTTTGGAACAAAACATATATCTGAAAAATAGAAAGGTTGTATATACGGTTTTTTTCAGTGAAATGAAACGCAACTCTAGCTTATTGCTTTGAGAGCCTCAAGTCGCGCGAGCCAGAGATAAACCAGTGTTTAACTATAAACATTTATAAACAATCATTAGCATTCATAGTATCGGTGTTTGACCTCGACGATAAGAAGATTATTTTAATAGCGAGTCCCCCTTCAGCCTCCATTCACAATTGCCTCTCTGTAAGGCGGTGCTCCGCCATTTCAGCCAACTGGATACGCGAATATTTGTGTCACAGCATACTACATCATAATTAGACAGGCAGAGTATGAGACTACAGAACAGCATTTGCTTAATAGGCTAAGTAGGTAGATCGGGTAGTATACCACACGGAAGGGTGGGCGAGCCGGCTGGACGTAACCCAGTTGTCAGAAGAGCCCGGTCCGATGTTTGAAAAGCAAATGGATTACGCTAACGCCAGGAAAACATAACGTGGAACAGTCGAACACCGGTCAGTAAACGCGTGCAAGGTGGGCAGCAAGGTATTCATTGTACAGCTATTTCAGGTAACTCCTCTATTTTCAATATACCGGCTTTGTGTGTAGTGGAAATCTCGCGAGAGCGGGAAATGGGCGTATACAACTGACGTCATTAGCCACGTGTCTTCGATTCGCAATTTGGACCGCTACCCAGCTAATATAAAATTATGACAGTAACGGTACTAAATCTGCATATGCTAATTTAGAAAGGTCGTATACATGTACTTAGAATACATTTTTTACCGAATGTAGTTTTATCGAGAGACGGCTATCTAGGAGTTTTATCTGAGCATGGAAGGAGATCAGGGTAATGAAACAGGTCTCTGATTTATCACTCGCAGTCCTAGCAAGCAGTCAATATAGCCCGCTCGCTATCTGTTGCCCAAGAGTGATAAAATCACCCACAATTCACAGTTTCTGGCTATATCTTTAGTCTCGACTTGACGCGCTATATTCTTCTTGTGTTTTTCAAGTTTCGGCCTTTTGGAATTATGTGGAATTCTTATGTAGGATCTCGATCCCAGACCTTGCGGTCTGGGAATCGGTGTAGGTGGTACCGCTATCATCACGGCAGGTGAGCTGGCCTTTGATGATCACTAATTACAGGTAGCAACTGTGAAAAATGCCATCTTCGTAAAAAGGATTTTGCTATTGCGCGTCTAAACGGTTCCTATGTGAAGTCCAAATTGCTACATAACGGGTGCCTCAGCCGCTGTTCCGTGTCACGCTAAAACTAAAGTCCAACCGGTCCTTGTTGACTGGCGGCCATGTTGCAAGCAGCAGGTGCGCGCTGAGGGCCAGCATTACACCACCTACCCGTACAGACTTTCGGTCGTTACCTGGACTCCTTGCGGGAACCATGTTTCTGCTTTCGATTCATTTGAATAACTCGGTTTGTGAAGCATTTACGTTTATTAATGATATTTTCTCTTCCGTATGTTTGTATCCGAGCTCATGTGATACACTTACTTACTTCTTTTCTGCTGCTGGTCATACGCCATACTTCCATGTGTGTCTTTGACAAGTGACTGTGTGTTCCAGGTGCTTACCTCCGCTGACTAGAGAGCTGACACCCGTTTGATCCCATGCCGGGGGTCTAATTGCGTGTCTTGCCAGGTAAGACAAGCAGGCTGGACGCTGTGGAAGCAACATGTCCCAGGTGGACGAGCGCTGGACCTCTTCTCCTACACAACCTATGCCCCCTACGGCCACTGAGGTGATTGTCAAGGACGAGCCAGAATCCTCCCCTCCCCCACGGGATCCTGAACCTGACTCTGCTAGAGACTCTGATAGCCCTAGTCGCTCACCCCCCGGGGAACCTGTGACGAACGGTACCCTCTCTTCAAGTGTTGTTCATCTACCCCACCCACACGCCGGCCACCCAGGCACTGGGCACCATATGGGATTTGAGTCCACTCCTGGGCATTTATTACCTTGTGAAGATGTTGAAGTGTTCTTTCACAATCTAGACAATCGACCGACTGCAACAACCGTCGCGCTGGCTAGTTTTACGACAGTAGGTAATGGTCATTTGACCACATTGACCAACGCGCCGTTGTCCGCTCACCACACCCTATATCAAGGATCCTCCCTAGGGTCAGGCGGGCTGGTCACCATGCAACCCCCAAGCTACTCCGAGTCACAGACCTACCTCCACTCAGGCCTCCCCTCCCTCTACGTACCCTCATCCCGACCCCTCGGGATGATGCCGATACAGTATGACAGTCCCTCGGGGACCCCTACGCCTGTCTCCACCCCTGTGTGGAATGCAACATCGGACACCATGTACGGAGCGCCGTCGTCCTCGCCGAAATACACCTACATTGGAACCGTTGGGGAAAGTCTGCATAACCCCCCACGCACCGAGTCCACCCTGTCCCTACAGCTGTCCCGACCACCCCCAGTTACATACCAGGGGTACCCATCACCCGATGGATGGGGAACCTACGCTGACAGAACCCAAGTCAAAGGTAGGGCCATTAGCGATAGTTATCCATATTCTTCCTTTTTAGATTTATTTTCGCTGATGTCTTGATGATTTATTAGTTTGCAAGTGATGTTCTTTTTCTACGGGTTGATAATACTTTTCTTGACGACTGAACACCTTGTTCATTACATTCACAATTAAGATCTGTAATAGTAATGGGCTCTCAGTCTTACCGTTAAAATAGTTTTAATAGAAATTATAAAGGATTCATTGACCATTATATTTAAGGTATGCGTCCTGTGGCATTAAGTATGAATGAAAATATGGATTATTAAATTTTGAATAATTTCAATTTTGGCAGAGGGGTCGGGTAGTGACGCCGTTTGTGCTGTATATATTAACATTAACAAATGTCGGGAGTTTTCATGCACGAAAATGAATACCTTAATTTTCCTTAATCAGCAATACCTTCCACAACATGCGCTTTGATGAGTAGTACTTGAATCCCGCAAATGCTTTTCACCCGAACAAAGACCCATCTTGCATTTGTTTATTTATGTAAAACATGTCGTGAATTGCACGATAATCAAACACAATGCTATGTTGATATGGCTTATCTGGAATATGTCCCTCTTTGTGTCATTGAATGGCAATTTATTCTGTTATGTAATGGTCCTATCAAAGCGTGCTTGTTGACCTCAAATACTTTCTTAATGTTGCTAATATTCAGCAATATCTCTCCAATTGCGAAATGGATAGAAACTCTGGATAATACTTTCTACCAATGTTTGAATGATTTCACAGCGGTTTTAGATGTACCAAAATATTTCATACACACTCAATATTTCTATCACCAGATTTTTAAGGATATTTCGTTGACACCAAGCGTTATATCGATTGTGTCAGGAACACTGGCCGGAAAATTTATTGAATGCATGGCTTCAAAAAGTTTTAAAACAAATTACAACCAAGCTGTTTTACGTTCGATCGCGAGCAATGCAAACGTTATGCCGTTTCTGCGTTTCAGTCCTCGTTTCAAATGTCTTAATAAATCTTAAGGGTGCGGCTGGAGTCTTACGACCTAACCTAAGCAACAAAATTGAAACGGTAACATGTCAAAATTTAGACTCGGTCGGTAGTGTGGAAACGTGTCGCCCTGGTGAAAGCTTTCATTGAAACTCAGAGAGTCAGCCTGGAGCATATGGAATGCCCAGAGAAGTAGGTTAGCGTTGAAGCACAATCCGACGTTGTGAAGTCCCAAGGTAGCTACAAGTCTCTCGTGGTTTGTTCTTTGTGTGGAGAAGGTCTTGGCAAGAACCCGCGAACCTGTTTATGGCCATTTAACTCACTGTGTAATAAAAATGTCACAGCATTGAAGGACAAATTACACATGGCTAATATAAACTACCACTCATTTTATATGAAAGAGTTTCACACAACGACCGGGCTGTTGTGTGATGGAAATATGCTACAGATGGACATGGTGCGGCAATGTATCACTGTTATCAATGTAAACGTTTCATATGTGGATGTTGTGTACACGTACGCGAACTGGGAGGGTTGGTGGTGTCGTGTTGGTGCGGGGCTGGGTCACAAACATGTGAAACGCTAGGAAACATTAAAACTTTGTTCTTGTGTTAAGAAGCCGAGATATATGTATTTCTTGACGTGAATCGGGACACAAGCAATTGCCGTTTATTAGATGAGGTACTTTTCAAAATACAGTTAAAACTCTTTTACCGTGTTAGTTAATATAAATTCGTTTGATAATCTTTTCATGTCCTGCAGCACTTGGTGATTTTAGTTGTCCCAGATGTATCTCCTGTCACTCGACTGCTTCAAGCTGTTTGTTTATTTGTTGTTTAACGCCGCACTCCAATACTCCAGCTATATGACGGTTGCTTCAATTTGAACAGTATTGTGACGGTGTGACTAACGTGTAAATATGGTTCCTTTGAAGAAGGGGAAGTTAAATATACTCATAGTTGATCACATCTATGACATTGCCGGTGACGATCATCAGCACTTGACGCACCCAGCATCATGTACAATGACATACATCATGTAACCAGGAAAAATAACTTAATTACAAAACATACACTTAATATAGGTCATGTTGATTCCAAAACAACCCATTGAATTTCACCTATGCAATATCGAACTAACTATTACCAATATACAACTATGGGGTTAAAGGTCAACGGTACTGAGGTTCTTGAGGTCACCCGACGGATAGAAAATTCTTTATAAATTTTAGGATAAAGATGAAATTAATCTTCTAGTGGGACTGTGTCTAACATTCTAAATATTTTCCTTCCAGTCAAGCCATTCTGAGATTGGTATGATGGTAGCCAACATTTGTCCAGCAGGATATGTTCGCCTATTTTGTAACACCTGGTGTCATTACTGAAACTTTACAGTGATTAGTGACAGGCTCTTGACATTGTTACGTCTATATTATGTGAACTCTGTTCCTCGTCTAGTGTCAGAGATATTAATATAACTACACATCATGTATGACTTTCGTTATTTACTAATCACAATCATTTACTGACATACTGTATTGAATTTATAGCATTTACATACACCTCCCTGCCTCCTGCTACTGCCCTCTTTAATACCGTCTTTTCCTACAGAATGTGTATCGTGTGTCCCGTATGACGTCCCCCCTTTATGACGTCGTAACAAGGAGGAATGTCAGGTTTTAACTACTCAAACATGTATCCGTGTTGACACGATTTCACATTTTGCATCCGCGTATCTGTTCAGAAGTTAAAACAGTCTCTTAGGTTTCTGTTATAACTTGTTTAGTGTGGTGACGGATATAGATTTCAAACAGCATCGTGTATATTTACTGGAAAATACGTATTTGATAAAGTCATAACAAATTTATTTGTTCTTCAAAACCTTTTGATGAAGCTCAAGTGATTATGTTTACCTGCAAATTTGCCTTGAGAAGAATAGGTCTCCCAAATCTAATAATAAAATAGAGATTGCCACGATCCTTACAAATTGCATCGTGTTACCTTCACGATGCCCATCCTTACAAGGTGAAATAATCACTATTTTGTCTTTTTCAGTGAATTTCATTGAAAAGATGCAATTTGCAAAGAGCTCGCCATTTGGCCACATAAATAAAATAAGCAGCCTGTTGAAGAGAAACATTTGCGTTATTACATAAAAACCAATAGGTGAGAAAGTATCGGCTTGCTGACTTGTTTCCATCAGCGTTGCGTATACATGTACAACAAAAATATCTACTTGGTTCCTAGAACCATGTTGTGTAGTGTTATCATCCTAATGTATGTTTAGTACTTAATGGACATGTATTTATATAGGAGTGTTATCTGTGTTTATGGAATCATTTAAAAACCCTTTTTGATTTCTTTAAAATGTGCACCATAGCTGATAACTACAATCTTCACAAATTTATTTTAATCGCTAAGCCAACGTGTCACATCATTTTACCCCCACTTTGTCACATGTTGCTCACTGCAAATAGGGAGGTCTAATTGCTATACTAATTATAACGTGTTAATTATCCCCGAACGTGATTACGCTTTCCCACATCACAGGGTACACACCACATCCCAGATCTCAGAGGCGGTGTGTACAAGAGGTTGTAAACATCTCATACTGATATCATAAATATTTCAGCAACTGCTTGTTAATTGCTTGCATGCCGAACACACCTGGCCGATATTTACCTAGAGTAGTAGGTAATAAACCTCTGTACAAGTCATCCACACTCGGCATATCAAGCCGATGTCTTTCTCTTCCGTGCTGGTTTGCATGACTCAATATTTATTGATTTATCTTTTTAGTATTCATTTCCTCATTCATTCGTGTGTTTTTTAAATTAGTATTGCTCAAGTGTAGGATGTTTCTTCATAAATTATTGGCCAGTAAGTAGATCAGTCCCCCTGTGCCCACTACCTTTAATTTTACTTGGACATAGATACAGCAGCGTATCACAGTCAACTGAAATCATTAAATATATCGTACATATTATAATGAGTTAATGGAAGGACACATCATTATGATACGGGGAGTGGGCTATGGCAACAAGCACCTAGTACACGAAATGATTACGCCCGTGTTGCATTTATAGGCGTGTTAATCCCTATTTCGCCCCACTGTGGCCGGTGTAGATTAATATCAGTGCGCAAACACCGAGACCAAAGACAAACTGTTTATCAAGACATAGCTGATATCTTCCAAGTGGAGAGATGATTAGCCATTTCCGGCCTTACCTGTGTATTCCGAAGCGTAAAACCATTGTGTGTGTATGTGTGTGTGTGCGAGAAGTGAGTGGGCCTCTGCGTGAGTGCTTGCGTGCGTGCGTATGTGTGTTGCAACCACATGTTAATGCAAACCACATGTTAAACCACATGTTAATGTGTGTGTGTGTGTGTGTGTGTGTGTGTGTGTGTGGGTGTGGGTGTGGGTGTGGGTGTGGGTGTGTGTTGCAACCATATGTTAATGCAAAATACTTTATTCTCATAAAATCCTGGCAGTAAGATGCAAAGGTGGTCACATTTACCATAATAAGATAAAGTTTAAATAAACGGCACGTTTGATATTTTAGTAGAGAAAAATACACGGATAGAGACTGTTAAATGTGTTCTCACTTCTTCATAATGTATAGATGTAATTTGTCAAGTTGATTCTGTATTTATTAATTATTGGAAAACATATATGAGACCAAAAATACTCTATTCTCATCATGGTATTTATGGTTGGAGCATCCTATAAGACGTTCCTGTGCGCCATACATTCGCCGTCATCAAAGCTTCTTGCTTGGGTAATTCAAAGATATCGGCATATCAACATATCAAACTGCAGGCTTCTGACTAAATAGGATGACAGTAATTAGTTGTTTTGCTCTGCTCAAGTTAAAGACCCAATGTTGATGTTGAAGGTGGCTAAAATGAAGCAAACAAGAAATGGTTATTCGATGGTGACGTATTTGATACGGGTATTATATGCGATAATACGTGCATCATATCAACGAGTATCTTGAAACAGGTGACAATTTCAAAT